AGAATATATGAAAATGCTCAGTTTTATAAAAGGCCATTAATAACAGAAGAATGAAGGGGAATGAGAAATAAGTTAAAGAGACTTAATAAACAGTGTAGGTGTTTTAAACAAACATGACTGAATGAAAGAAAGGTTAAGGTGTGAGCAAATGGAGGAATAAGAAATATGGGAAAGATGAAAAGAATTAAAAAATGAGTGGGAAGAAAACTCAGAAACACACAATCCTGAAAATGAGAATACTCTTGTATTTAATGTTTAAAAGGTAAGTCTGATGATGAAAGACAGGACCTGGAGAATGTGTTTTTATGGGTGCTGCTGAATATCACCTTAAACACATTTTTATTGCAATATAGGTTAGGGGAAAATTGGACAGGATCATTCATTACAGGACTTCAGAACCTGTAGTATTCTAATGTACTCTGTGATTCTTGTAGAAAGCAGTACACTAGGTCACGCTCCCCCACATTTCTTGACCATAATGTTTTATTTTTTTTTTCCTTGCTAGTATTTCCAGGGATTAAGCTTCTGAGGACCACAGTAGAAAATATTATATTAACAGAGATATATATAAAAATGGAGGGGAGATAGGGAATAAAAAACAACCTTGTTTTTTCTGAATTTGACACTGATTCTCCCTGGGCAAACCCCTTTCTGTCTCAGTCACCTCTTTTCATACCCAGGATTCAGTCTGCTATAATTTATTTTATTTTTCAAGCATAAATCCCATAATGGCCTATATGTACGTATGTATGTTTGTGTATATAGATATATATGTGTGTATACATGTATATACATGAGCATATATACACATATACATATATGTGTATATACACATATACATCATATATATCTATCTTTGGTTCTCATTAAAAATCAGTTTTCTAGGTTCAAAGGGTAGATCGAACACACTAACCAAAGGTATTCAGCAACTCTGATAGCGGTTAAGAGTAGTATATGACACAAAAAGTAGTAGTGGAGACCCATCATTTAAAGTGAAAATGAAAAAAAAATCATAATAGGAAACAAAGTAATAATGTAGAAAATGCTATAGAAATATTCTCCTAGTCTTCAAACATTATACAGCACAGAAACCCTTAAGGGATCAATAACCAC